TCTTCTTCATATTTGGTCGACCAAAATCTGTCACCTCCCAAGATACTTCAGAAGACCATGACCTGATATGCATCGAGTTGTCTTTCGTAGGAAGAACAAGCACCTTAGGGCTAGTCAACGGCACACAAAGCTTCAACGTCGTTCCCTTATCTTGCGAAGCGCCTTCCTTCATAAGAAAGGTGATGGTTTTGCTCTTAAAGCACTTGAAAAATACCATGGCTGCAACAAAATAAAAAAGACAACATAAGCACAAGGTGGGGTGGCAAGAAAGAAAAAAAAAATTCCTTCACTAAAGCAAAAGACATGCAAGACAAACCTCATGAGCGTTAAAAGATAACGATGACAAAGACACAACAACGAAAAGAAATCAGCCACAAGGCTTGAGCAGCACAGCAAAGATGGTAGCTATAAGACGATCCTTCAAAGCACGCTACAGTAGCAAAGAAAACTAAAATGCTACGCAACCCTACAGCAATTACGCAAGTAGTTTCTTGCACTATACAGAAATGTCAGCACCGAGGGAAAACTATGACTAAAAGGCATTACACAGCGTAACCCCGCTGCAGTCTTTTGCACAACACCACACAGTAAAAAGTGACGTACTGCAACAAACTCCAAACAGCAAAATTCACGGCACCAAGCAGTAATTGCACACGGCACAGCAGCAAGCACAATGGCAGTGCACAACAAGGGTGGTTGTGTGACAAGAAACACACACGCAATTGTCCTATAAATAAGGGTCAATTGCTTCCTAAAGCTATAGGGAGAATACATACCAAATAGCAAAAGGAAAATCAAAAGAAGGAAGTACATTCCAACCAAAAGAAGGAAGCAAATTCCAAGCAAAAGTGGCAAGGTAATTTTGGCCACAAGGCAAAAAAGCATGTTGTTTTTGCAACAAAAATCAGCAAAGAATAGAAAAGGAAACAAAGAAATAAGGAAAGGGCTTCAAAATTTCCAAACATCAAAGGAAATTGCCCCCTTGCCGAAATTAAAAGAGGAAATCCCTCCAAAGCAAGGACAAGTCTTCAAGTTTCCCAAACCAAAAAGGAAAATACCCTTTTTGCCGTGGAAAAGAAAAAAGGAAAGGAAAAAAAATGCAAATCCTACTTACCCAAGGACAAGCATTAAATCTTTCCAAAATCTTGAAGGAAATCACCAAGGCTTTCCAAAACCTTGAAGGAAATCACCAAAGTTTTTCAAAACCTTGAAGGAAATCACCCTCATTACCAAAATTGAAGGAGGTTCCTACTTAAGGAAGGAAAAGCATTTTTCCTATACCCACAAGGAAAAAATTCAAATCCCACAATAAGCATGTGTTGATTTGTCCATTTTCAAAAAAGAAATCATTATCTTTCATGATTAAGTCTCTACGGCCCTTGAAGAAAATTTTCATTTTCTTTCAAGATCAAGCCTCTACGACCCTTGACGAAATTCATCATCTCAATTCAAGAAATACGCCTCAGCGGCCCTTGAAGAAATGTTTCATTCAAGAAATACGTCTTAGCTGCCCTTGAAGAAATGTTTCGTTCAAGAAATACGCCTCTACGGCCCTTGAAGAAGCAAACTAATTCAAGATCAAGTCTCAACGACCCTTGAGTTAGAACATTCACATTGCAGGACTTGAAAACATGTTTCCTAAATGTGACAAACACATGCCTGCAACGCGCCTTGAAGTGGGAGCATTTGTAAACATGTAAATTTCGTTGCATACAAATGATGCATCACAAAGCTCCACATGGCATATGACTCATCACAAATGGACAAGTCATCAATGACATGTGGCACAAATCAAGCAAAGGAAGCTCAAAACTTCCCCAAAATTCGGCAAAAAGGGGGAAATATCCCTTAAAATCGGCAAGGGTCCAAATTGCTCCCAAAACTGGTAAGAAAGCCCAAGGTATCTTCACAAAACAAGGAAGAATTGAAGATTGCTCACAAAATAGGCAACAAGTCCTATAGATTTCGACCAAGCAAGGGAAATTGGCTGAAATCAAGACACAAAACATGCCTAAATTCTTCCACGGACAAATCAAGACACAAATCACGGCAAAATCCATCCAAAGGCATGGAATTGGAAGTCTATAAATACAAGGTCCTAGGACAAACAAAAGTTCGACAATTTCTACATTCAAGGATCAAAATTCTCACAAAAGGAGAACCTTTGCCAAATCTTTGAAGACAAATGCGCTGCCAAAGCTTTCTTCGAAGAACGTACAACCAATGCCGAAGCTTTCTTTCTACCAAAGCCGAAGCATTCCCTTGAAGAATCAACAAGCACTTGTGCCAATTCCTTCAAGACTTTGTAGCAAGCTTAAAACTTGTAACAATGTTCAATTCAAGATCAAGTCGCCAAGACCCTTCAATCAACAAAATCCTACATCAACACTACCTTTGCCGCAATTTTGAGGTGAAGACCATCCAAGCGTTGTTTCAAGCTCGAAACTTGAAGCAATCGTTCAATCGTTTGTCCGAGATCAAGTCATTGCGACCCTTTGATCAACAACCTACACATCTACGTCAAATTTGAAGACTGAATCAGAGGAAAGTTGTAAACAGAGATTGTAACCCTACAAATTCATCAATATAAATCTACTTTGTAGATGTGTTCTCGTTTCATTCGTTACAAAATTTTCGTGTTTACAGTCACATTACTCATACCTAATGCCTTCATTTATACTAATCACGATGGGCTTTCTTGCCTTACAAGTAATACAAAGCCTAAGAATTTTGATCTTCAAATCCTTTTGGAGTTACTACTCCAAGTTTATACAATCACACAAGTTATAAAATATTATTCACCACAAGTGCAAGATTAAAGCAAATGAACATCAGGTTTAGATAGAAAAACTCGGAATACAATACTATTTTGTAAACAACATTTGTGTACCACATGATGTGCCAAGTGATGTGTACATAGCACGTCAATTAGTTAATTTATCTCATTGGATGTTAGTTCTACATATCATTTGCCACATCATGTGTTACACAGATATGATACAAAAATGCAATCTCCGTAACATTACTCCTACATAAATTCAGTTAGTCCTCTACGCAAGGTGCCTATTACCTTTAATCATATACTAGTTGTTATGGTATTAGCTTTGGAACTTAATCTTCAAGTTCAATTTTATGACGCTAATTAAGAGAAAATAGAATTTGATTGGAAAATAAGAATCCCTCCAGTGTCTTTACCTCTAATTGCACAAATGATTCTTGAACTCGATCATATGTCGTTATTTACAATGGCTAGGTTGGCAATTATGCTGCCGATTAACTTGAAAGAATTAAAGAAGCTACTGTCATTGAGTGCCCGGGTAAAGTCATCAATATCCTCTACGGTGTTGTACAAGTGAGGACTCGCCTGTGCACTCGCACAGTCTCCTAAATGCCGATGAAGGGGTTGAGCTTGAGCACAGTGGTGACCTGATCGGATAGCCACTCCGTGCTGGAATTACATAAGTTAGCACCAGCTGCTATATTAAAGCTCACTTGTATTGTACAGTGGAGGAAATAAAATGCTGTTTGTTCTGATACCTGTTGGTCAAGAAAAGTAGCTAGATCAGTAGGGTGTATGTTCCTCTACGTTGAAAGAACAAAGAGCTTCCCGAAAGACGTGCCCTGAGGGGGCTGGACCATAAATACGAACATTGGGGACAGATTGAAGGCTCTCGTATAGATATTTAGCAAGAAACGTACGTGAAAAAGAAGTGCAAACAAGAGCATTTTAGTGTATAAGCATTACATAAACATTTGATTTGGCTCCAATAGAAACCAACGCACCTCATAACCATATCTACCGAAAAACAAAGCCAAATGTAGAGCGCAGATAGAATAATTGTAGGCAGTTGCACATAGCCATTGCGCTCTGGATATAGATATACAAACCAACATAACACTCAAGAGACAGCCTTTAGAAAATAAAAATACCTGAGGCCTGGCAGACAAGATATCACTCTTTCCATATAAGAAACCGACGCCTGTAGGCCCACACATCTGAAGCATGTTCACTCTTTACTTCATGTACTTGCCCATAAGGTTTTAGTACATAAGGCAGAATCCTAAGCTCCTAACCTTGCGAGAAGAAGCAACAAGAAAGTCCGCGTTCAGATTCTGGACTATTGGCTGCGTTTGTTAGACCTCTTCAACTAGGACTGGCTGGATAGGGCTACTGTCTCATGTTTAAATGAGACTAGCCAGGACTTGTCTACCAGAGCCATCACTAAAACAGTACTAGTAACCCCGTGTTTCAGCCTGCCATTGCTACATAAGGGCACCAAACACCGGATTCTTATTAAATAGTATTATCCGGTGGTAGCGGCGAGGCAGCTTGCATCTCAAGGGGTGGTGGTAGTTGACGTCCAGGGATGAGAAGAGGGGAAGGGCAGCAACATCAAAGCTCCACAAGTTGGGTCTGCCACCGGTTATCATCAATTCCTTGGCCAAGTTCGTCCACGCCACGTTTGGGAGCCTTGATATTTTGGTAAGGCCAGGTAATTCAGCTTTTACCCCTCAAAGTTATCCGAAACACACAAAGGTTAAAATCAACACCCCACCTCGCTGCCCTTTATTGGGTACGAATGTCTCTTTGTTAAGTTGATGCGGCCTCACTATTTTAGAGATAGTTTGACATTGCCTCGCTGTTTTAGCAATGGTTTTATGCGTGCATTTGGTGCCAGATTTATCATCTTTTATGGCAGATTTGTATCGGTCGATTTTAGTTCTCATGGTACCCGTGTAAGAAATTGATCACCGAAAAACATCTTTTAGTTCTCATGATTTGTATCGGTCGCTTTTAGTTCTCATGGCAGATTTATCATCTTTTATGGCAGATTTGTATCGAGCAATAAGAAATTGATCACCGAAAAACATGTACCCATCTGACACTTTCCCGTAACTCAGACCTTGTCTTTTCCTAGTAACAAGATCATGATTTGTCGAGTTTCTTTGAAACAAAATTAGCAGTTGATAGTCTGAACCGTTGCGGCATTTCCTTGATGTAAGATTTTAACTGCCAAATGCATTGCTAAATCACCAGTCCCCCATTATTAGCAAAATGCATCGCTAAATTCTGGAAGGTGAGATCTCTAAAATCCCAGATGCATAACCTCATAAAGATACTAAACAATGTATCTGCATCGAGTTTCTCCGATGTAACGTACAGAAAAAGCGTTCAAGGAAATAAATCCTGAATATCAACGATATCAGCAAGGACACCAGCTGCTGTAGTATCATTGCCGGCTCCAGCTCCTTGAATCACCAGCGGTTGGTCTTTATAGCATCGACTGTAAACCTCCAACTGCAATTGCATAAACAGTTAAGAATTGCCAAACTTCATCTGTGCTATTAACGAAATGATCAATATACGCAAATTACTTTTAAGTAACTTTGATTTGCTGTCCAATTCCAATATATGCTAACTATTTGTCTTGGAACTTTGATCGTCAATTCAAGATTCGTTCCATAAATGGTCAAACTTCTCTATTCTATTGACCATTTCGTAGTGAAATCTATAATTTTGTCTCCCTCCTTATGTCTCCCAGGAACAAGTTGACAAAGAAATTTGACACATGATCTTGCTTTCCCGAATAATCTCATCCATGAAAACTCTAATACAAGACCTGAGGTGCAATTAATGAATTGCACGGTGTAAGGTTTATATCGCATGTCCACTTTTATTTTCGTTTGTGCATTATCGAAAATATCTTTATTTAACTGTCAAAAGTAAATTTGTAAAGAAATGGGCTTACCACATTGTCACTTCCTCTCAGCCTTCCTAAAGCAGAATCCTTGGGAAGCTCTTGAATGCCAACTTCACAACTACCAAATGCTGGGATCAGTTAGTATCACACCATCTTTGTAAAGAAATGAGTTAGTATATGATATGCAAAATCACGTGTAAAGTAGTAGAATGAGAGGATGTAACTCAAAATTCATAAAATTTTTACGGTACTGCATTCAAAAGATTGGTTATCATGATCATGACCATAAAGAACAACAGAAATATACATATAATGCCCGCTTTCCACTTTGAAGGATCAAGAAGTCCTAAAGAGCTTTGAGAAGATGCATAAAGCCTCCTTTTAACATTTTCTGTTTCCTACCTTACTTTTTGTGTTGATCGTTTTAATATTCTCAGATGGAGTATGAGAATATAAAGAAGTTTGACTAGATGAAAGAGGATGAACAACTGCCTCTAAGCCATCTGTAAAGATGAATAAACAACTTGAAGTACATTTGTAGTGTATTCTTGACAAAGATGTGTTTATTACCCTGATCTACAACATCTTATTCCTGAGGGTAACCCGGCTTGGGCCAATGCCAACTGCTAGACAGACTACGTTGGCAAGCAACCAACCATGGGTCCACCAAGAAAGTTTGGGGTGGTCAGTTATGGTGAGATGCAACTTTTTTTTTTCTTTTTTTTTTTTTTCCTTTTTTGTTAAAATAAGGATACAAAATTACCAAAGTAAAAAGTTCTATACGTTGGCTTGCTTTCATCCATAAGCATTTATGTTCCCAATTCAGAACAAAATTGGAAAATCACCAAAAATACATTTGAACGCATTTATACATACGCACCACCTACCAATCTAGGTTTCATAAAATTGGTTCCAATGAATATTTCTCTCACCTGGATTCACACTGGACCCTCTTCTCTCTCCACGGAATACCAACAATACCATTATGGGGTGACTGTAAAATGAAGACACCGTCCTCAACAAGCGCCTTCATATTTTAACACAACTTACCAACCTAATTTGGAAGTCTAACAGAGTCTTTGTGACCTAACGAAAAAAAAATAGGTGCTTCATAATCCAAACCATCCATTAACTGAAAAACCAATGCAAACATGCATACACGCTCGAGAAAGTGCTTCTTTTAGCATATCGCATTTTGAACATAAATGTAGAAAAGAGTACCTTGAGTCCTCAATCACACAGACGTAACGTAGCACCTTCCCATCCAAAGAAGCCTTAGAGACTCTCTCTTGGATATTTTTATCGAGCAATAATAGCCCACTTCCCAGAAAGTCTTCAATAGACATTACACTAGGTGCCATTTCTTCAGGATACAAACTCTCAATCTAAACAATGAAATAGCGATCATAAAAGTAATAAAATATAAGTTCACAACATGAACATAGGGACAAGTGTGATAAATCATATATATATATATGACAAAAGCAGTAGATAGTACCAACCTTAATGTCATCCAAGTTAATGCGCTGACCAAGAAGCCTAGCTAGTATCAAAGCCTGTGTAAGATGGTATTAGAAATTTATGAGGTGTTGCTAGAGCTTCAACATCAAATCATTTATATTTTCATCATATCGTTTGAGTTTTCTTTCATATTATGGCATTGTTGTTTGAACTTTCAGCTGATTAAAGTAAATTTAAACACACACAAAAAACCATGTCCACACCTTTCTTGCAACATCCATCCCACTAAGGTCATCGCGTGGATCTGCAATTACGATATAGAGTCAAAAGTGACCACACTGACAAATGCTCCCGAAGCTCAAGACATACTTCTTAGTCCTACAGTCCTACTTATATACAGTGGGAAATAATAACTCAATAAATAAAAAGGATAATATAAACTTCGGATGATCAATCCGTGATTTACTACAAGGTTAAAAACATTCAAAACCTGGTTCAGTGTAACCCAGGTTTTTAGCAGAACGAACAACTTGACTTAGTAGCTTTCCACCTTCAAGCTCACTCATTACATACCCCAATGTCCCTATCACATGTACACAAGACGAAACATATATCAGTACAAATACTCGGATACATGCAGGTGGCTTATGTTAAAAATGCAAGAAAGCCAAGGGAAAACTTTGGTACCACTCAAACTCCCGATAATGCGGTGGACAGGATCTCCAGATGACAGTATGCGATTTAAGGATGCTATGACAGGGAGGCCAGCACCAACCTACCAAATCTAAAATCAATTCAGGGGAAATTGCAAGAAAATGTACGTATATAGAGAGAAAGCACAGTAAAATTAGAGTAAACAGTCAACACTACCAGTTATTAGAGTTTTATTCCACTTGAGCAAGTCATATGAATTACACATGTATGTATCATGCTGGACAGATGGTGTGTGCAAATGAACAAATGGGTGTCTATGACAGTAATTAGCTGCTACAGAGGATGCAGAGGGTGACAACAACAACGAAATAAAAATGATGCAGGAGGAGGAAGAAAAGTAAAAAATGTGGGGCTTCGGGTAGTTTTCAATATAAAATCTTCTTTACATTTTCAGTTACGTACTATTGTTGCTCCTTTGAGCTACAGAACTGATCTAACTATAGTATTTCTTTTGTTAATTTGCATGAAATGGTTTTAAAAAAAACTATGGAATGAAGAGGCGACTGACTGTAATTTTCATAAGAAGTCAACAATAAGTTGGGGAAAATCGTGGATATGTTATGAGTAAACAAAAATTCTGAGGTTCAAATATCAATTGTGTTAAGAATCAGATTATAAGTCAAAATGATAGTAGACCATATAGATGAACAAGACTAAGCATTTCATCTCTAAACACACTCTACTTTTCATGTCCTGGTCATAATGCACAGCACACATCAATAACTGGAGCAAGAAGTGAACTTACAGTTGACTCATGACGAATGTGACGTGGGTGAGAAACTAATTTGTCATAGTCCTCCTGTAGGTGAAAAATGCATAATGCATCATTGGGAGGTGTGGAAGTTAAACTACCAGAAATCAGTGATATACAAGTAAAATGAACAAGAAAATAGCAGAACGAAGCCCATTTGCCTCGTATTTACAGAATGAACATTTGCATTGATTGCCGTAAGAGTAAAATTTGTCACTATCAATATTTTCTTGGTATTAGAACATTATTGAAAAAGTTTAGTACCATTGTTGAAGTAAGAGGCTTCTTATTTGCCATGACAATGCAACAATCCAAATCCACCGCTTGGGTTAGTAAAGGAATAGTATCAGAACTGGCAGAGCAATCGACAAGTGCCAAACCTTTGCAAAACGAAAACAAAACAAAAATTTCAAACAAATGACGTTGAAATCGTTCATTTTGGTGAAAAGATTGCAAAAGATCATCACACACGCCACGAACCTGTTGATTTACCCAAGAATGCAGCAACATCTACAATCTTTTTGGTTGATTCCGAATTCGCAAATACCTGGAACTCACCTTTACAAAACAACAAATACAAAGAATACGAAACAAACACCAGCTAAAACAAAAGATCGAAAACCCAATTAATCATCTCATAATTTCACGGGGAAGTGAAGTTACCATAACCACTGAGCGTGGAGAGAGAAGCGCCATTCGACTTGGCCCGGCAAACTTCCAATAAAAAGTCATCAGGCAGCTCCATGGTGAAAGCGTCGGATGCAACGAGTAAGGATTTACTGTCGCTTACTCCCACTACTCTCAGGTGGATTCCCTGCCCCGTGCCCGCCCACATCAAGATTATCCCATCAATACCGCACATCAACAACAACAACAACCAGAGGCATTGAATTTGGAAGAATGATTGGGAAATGGAATGGAAGCAGTACCTGTTTGGCGTGAAGTGATCGGCAGGAGACAATGTGCTGGAGCAGCTGACGCCCAACGCCGCCGCAACCCATCAGAATCAGAGAGATGTTCTTGCTCATTGTTTTGTTTCTTTCTCCCAATGTTTGCTGTCCTGCTCCAATTCTACTTCTGCCCTTCCGGGTTTTGGTTTGATTGCGGCTCCTGGGTTTCGGAGTTGTTTCTAGTTTCTCTGTTTACTGTTCGGGAAATTTTATTTCCGCCGTTTAACCTAATTTAAACTTTAAATGTGAAACGTATTTAGTATCTTAATGTATAATATAAACTATTTATTAATAGAACCATAATTCCCAACCAAAAATCCTATAAAATTATCTTTTTAAGACTCTAATCAAAATTGAACAAAAACAAAAGATATGGACAATGATGTAATTTTACGGATAGATGATGTTTTTGAAGTTTTGAATCCTTCAACAAAGATATGAATCGATTTATGTAAGAGTTGACTTATTAGTTGATGTGAGAACAAATTTAATTAACCCGGAATTCACTATGTAATTGTAGCATGTAATTAGGAGTATAATTTCCAACTGTAATTAGTGTAGGATTCTTTCCACAACTCAATATAAGGAATAATAGAAACCTATATATATTGTAATATTTTTCACACATCAATACAAGACGTCATAATTATACATGGTATCACTCGTCTAGGTTTTTATTAGGTACTAGGGTTCCTCCCCTTCCCTTCTCTTGTTGTCCCAAACATAAAAAAAATATTTGCAAACAAAATAAATAAATAAAAATAAATAAAACTTCAGCTTGTCATTCATATTTCTCCTCTCATGGCATCATCTTCTTATTCTCTTCCTGGTCAAACACTGCAAACTTCTTTAAGCTTTCTATCACCAACTATATTGTTTGGGTTTGTCAACTCAAAGTTTTTCTCATTGGTCATGACCTCTGGAAATACATCGACAGTTCATCTCCCTCTCCCCCACCCATCATTGCCAATCCTAAATACATTGAAGTCGACCTTCTCTTTCCTCCCAAAAGTCCCAATCATGATTATCTTCGTTGGTATCAACAAGACAAACTAGTACTTAGCTATTTCATGAGTACTATGGATGTAAATTTCCGCCATCTTCTCTTTTGACGAAAATGCACCTGCAAAATAATAACATCTAAGATTAAGACCAAAAGCCTCATGCGCCCACAATGAATTTTAGGGGGGGGCGGATAATGTGTTTAGGAGTTTGTGGGTAGCAAATGGCTTAGCGTTTTAGTGGGATAATAGGTCTATTTATAGGGGAGTGGCCGGCCCTATTTGGAGAAAAGTGGCAAGCCATATATGGTGTAATTGGAGAATAATTGCAAGATATTATGTGAGATAATATCTTGCAATTAACAAGGCAATTAATCCTAAATTAAATAGGAAAATTGGGAGTTACCTTTTGAATAAGAATTTGATGAGGAGTGATGAGAGGGATTTGAATAAATATCATTTTGATCACCTTTGATTCTTCCTTGATTAAGCCGTTATTGTCTGTTGCATGCGTGTGGGAATCCCGATGTGCCTTGAGGATAATTTTGCCTTTTTTAACCAAAAGTCCATGTGTTGCCTTCATAATTTTCTTGATCATTTTTTGCTCCACAAGTACAACCTCTGAATCTTTGCATTATCTCACTATTGGTTGTGCTACATCCTATACATTTTTCTCAAACCTCTATTGCAAATGTAGCCACTGTGCGTTTGGATTTGTCCAAAGGCTCCAAGACCGCGGATATCTACATCCAAGAAGCCAAATTTATTGTTGATCAACTTGCTGAAATTAGTGAACCTATTTCTAATAAAGATCTTGTTATGTGTACTATTTGTGGACTTGGCCCTGATTACCAGATATTTATCACCACCTTGATCAATGGTCATTTTTCTTCCTCGAGTTACGTTCCAAACCTTTGACCAACAAAATCCCAAAAATAATTATGGCGTTCATAAAGGACAAGCCCTTCTCATGGTGAATCCCCTATCATATACGAATTCTCAGCCTAATAGTGGTCATGGCAACTCTAGCTGTGGTGGTGGAGGCAGGCATGAAGGCTGGTGTGGTTCATGGGATTAGCAAAGGTCGGGTAGTAGATGTCACTGACCGGACTTCAATCTAGAATTTGATTGGCCTGACCCGCCGCACTGGGCAAACTTGGATCTAGGTGAGCTCCTTTCTTATTCAATAAAAAAGAAAGCTTTGCATGGATACCCCAAGGCGCTTCGTCCACTTTTCGCGATTTTTAACAACAATGAAAGACTAACTTCAAGAGAGATCGTAGGTCTTAGACTAACTTCAATCGACAGTAGTAAGCCTATGTGGCCCAGCTCAACAACATCTATCAATAGCTATTGCATGCACAACCGCCACAGTACTTCAACATGGGTTTAGCCAAGAATTATCCCTAAAATGCCTAGCCCACTTTCTTGCCTCTGCAGCCCTGTAGTCCAGCCAACTCCCAGGCCTAATGCATTTCTCAGCCCACTACAGCAACCTTCATCCTTAGCCCAGCTTGGTACTACGACTGTAACATCTCTCAAGATACCCAACAAACATGTCCACATCATTACAATGGGATTGACCAGGCCCCACCCTTCGCTAGAGCCCAATTTACCTAGCAACTGGAACTTGTTTGGTATCTTGACACCGGTGATACCTACCACATGATGGGTCAATCATCTTGTTCCTCATATGCATCCATATGTCGGTCCTTCTAATGTCTACTTGGGTAATGGTGATGCTAGGAACATTACCCATACCGGTACCATTCCTCTTTCTTTTGGTTCTAATTTTACTCTTCGAAATACCTTTTTTCTTCCTGACCTTCCTAAAAAATCCTTTCTATGTTGCTCGTTTCACCCAAGACAATTCAACATTCTTGGTCTTTGTTCCCAATTTTTATCAAATATATAACATACTTACCTGCGTGTTGTTGTTTCAAGGCCTCTGCAAAGATAAGTTTTATTCATTGTCTCTCTCTTCCACATCTTTGTTGTCCCTCAAGCCTATACCGCCGTCTTTTCCACCACCTGGCACCAACATCTTGGTCTTCCATCGTCATCAGTCATGTCACATCTTTGTTCTAGTTTACGTCCTACTATCAAAGTTGATAAATCTTTTTGTACCGATTGTGCCCTTAGCAAGTCTACCCAATTATTCTTTTTATAATAGTAACAATAATAGGGAATTGTTATTAGCACTCCAAAAATCTCATTCTACACTCCTCACAAGTATATTTTTCTTTCTAATAATAAAAGGTTTGGAGTGCCAAATGAGATTTTTGGAGTACTAATAATAATAATAATAATAATAATAATAATATTTGTGGTTCTTCCTTTTATATATATATATAATTCATTATGATGTGTAGATGTCTCCAGTTCCTTCTGTTAGTTTTCATTACTATGTACTCTATAATGACGATTTTTCCTGTTATTCCTGGATTTATCCTATGAAACGAAAATCTGAGGTCTTTGATCACTTTAAAACCTTTGTTTCCATGATTCATAACCTGTTTCATGCCACTATTATAGTTCTCCAAGTGATAGTGGTACCGAATATGTCAATCCATCCTTTTCTACCTTTTGTCATGAGCACGACATCTAATAACGGTATTCTTGCCCCCACACTCCATAGCAAAATGGGCTTTCTGAACGAAAATATCACAACATTGCCACCCTTATTCACTCTCTTCTCCACACAGCCGACTTACATCACACCTTGTGGGTTGAAGTGGCTCTTACTGCAGCTCACCTTATTAATCTTCTTCCCACACCTGTTTTAGATTGGACCACTCCTTATCAAGTTCTTTTTGGTCATCTTCCCACTTGTTCCCATCTTCGCATTTTTGGTTATCTTTATTTTCCTCATCTTCAACCGTATGTTGCTCACAAGTTAGAGAGTCGTTCTAAACCCTGTGTCTTTCTAGGTTATACTTCTCATCATAAAGGTTACCGTTCTCTTGATCCCTCCACTGGTCATATCTATGTGTCACGTCTTGTCACTTTCAACAAGTTTCCTTTTCCTTATAATGTTTTGTAGGTCTCACTCTCTTCGGATAATACAAATTCCAATTACACAGGCCACCTTACCCAACTATTATGGAAGCCCATTCCGTTGAGCAGTTGTATTCAGCTGCTTGGAGTTTCAGGGGTGCTGAGTTGCGCGTGAGAGTATTTGAGAAGCATGCCTATTTAATGAGAGCAAATTATCTTTTTTGAGCATAAGTCCACGTGTTCCCTCTATGATTTTTGGAATTATTTTAAGCTCTACAATATATATAGTTCTTGTGTTTTTTAAAACTGCATTCAGCATGGGTGCTTTGTTGGGAGCTATCACTTTTTTGGAAAAACATACATATGAAAACCTTTGCTTCTAGTGTTCAATCAAATTAAAATAAGCATATAGACTTCAAGTTTATTTTTAAGAGAATTAGATTTTCAAGTTAAAGATTAGGAATTGTGCGTGTGTTTTGTTGGTGTTTAAGGGCAAATTGGTAATAAACGTGAATTTTTTTGGGGGGCATAGATTAAAATTGGTGTGGACTTAGATAAATAGTGGTGTTTAAATTAAACAAAAAGGAAAAATTTTGAAATATTATATAAACTTATACACTTCTTTCTATTTGTCATATGAACTCAATTTTTAAGCAAATTTAGGAGAATTAATTACTATTCATATGATCTAATATTCTAGTGGACAGAGTTTTAGGTGTTTACGCATGTGTCTTGAGTTCGAAACTCTCCCATTGCATGAATTATTGTAATAATTTCAAACACTTCCTTAATAATAATAATTTAAAAAATTATGAAATAATCAATTTTTCAAATTCATAAATTTCGTTGTTTTAAAATTCTTTAATAATGATAAACTATGTTTCACATTTTTTTTCTAACATATCAAAAATATTATTTCATTGTCTGACTGTGACATCCCGTCCCAAAATTCTTATTAACGTACGTGTGAAATTACGACATTGCCTCTAGTTCGTTTTGATTACGTTATTGGTTGTTTTGTGTGGTGTGGCATGTGTTGGGCCACACACACACCCACACTGACTTACTCTCCCTCTCCCTCTGTCACTTCTCTCTCTCTCTCTCCCCCTGAGCTCCCTTCCTTCTTTCTTCTTCTTCCTTCGAGTGTACGGACAAACCCAAAACCCTCCAAATCTGTGCAGATCGAGGGAACCAAGT